TGGAACTCTGGAAAAGGGTGTGCTTGAACTACTGAGGCATCTGGTGCTAGGGGTCACTGGCAATGGGGCCACAGGGCCCCATTTCCTTAAAGAGGTAACAGACAGAGACCATGGACGGGAAATATGCCAAAGAAGCCAAGGGAACAGACAGTACTGAAGCCTACTCAGATCACAGGAACCTTACGAGCACACATGTCCAGCATATGAGGTCCAAATACAGCAGTAAGGCGATTGTCCAGTGAGAGGAAGTTTGACCAGGGCCATGTGTGACAGAGGTACTTCTGCTATGTTTCTTATAGTTATCTCAGTGATACTAGACAAATAAAAAAGCATTAGTGCCATTTACTATTTAGATACAGGATAATGTTTTCAAAAGCACCTAGGTCCCATTCTCAAAAAAGACTTAGGCATATAAGAGTTTAAATTTCATTGCAAGTTAATGGTATTTAGGCTCCTAATTCCCTAAGTTACTTTTGCCAGTGGGATTTAGGTGCTTTACATTTTAAAATATTAAAAAATTAAAAATGTTCTAAATGTCTACTTTTAATTGTTACTCCACTAGAATGACTAGATGAAAACTAGGTTTATCATCTCTACCTCTAGAGTTTCTATGAGGCCAATATTCACATAATGGCAGCAGGAAGCAGAAGGCACAACAATGCCAGTTGTAATTAAAAAGATTTTGGAAATTATATTTTCCACAGAATCCTCTATTGAATAGATGTATATGACAGAATTATTTCAATTTCATACCAAATGATCTTTTGGGAGGGATTTCCATCTGTTTCAAATTACTTCTGCCTTGTTGAAAATATCCAGTGACTATTTCTTCTTGGGGTAAAACTAAACCAAACAAAACATGGAAGTAAATAAAAAAGCACTTATTATATATAAACACAATATTTTTCTGTATTCTGTGGTTGAATTGTTTACTATTTTATCCCTAAATTATAAATCTTATCTATCAGAAAAATGGAGTTAAAAGTCATTTCAGATATTACAAATCGAGAGGACTCAGGCAAAGTGTAATTTTGCAATCACATTCTCCAATTTTTAAGAGGTTTCTCTGTTTCCTTCTTATGTCCTACACAAACAGGGAAACTAACTATACACAAGGTGCTGCCAAATGAACAAAGTAAACAAAACTGAAAGACAGAGAAAATGTTTTCCTCTCATCTGAAGTACTAATTTTGTAACAATAGTAGGTAAAGTTTCCAAAGAGAATGATAGTTTAGAGACACACAGTCAACCTTAAAGTAAGTAGCAGGTCAGCTCAGTAGTTTACCGGG